ATGCAGGCTACCTGCCCTAGGACAGATTTGGCATTCACACCCCCGATCTCAGCACCAGACAATGAACAAATCATTAACTCTAGATTCAACCACCTCTAAAAAGCCTAACTCTCACGATGAATGAGGCTTTCAGGGGACACTCAGACACAAAGCGTAACAACTAGTAAGGAGAAAACACTGAGAAGACAATTCCATATTTTGAAACTAGGAGAATGTATTGTTGCTGTAAAGAGGGAGGTAAATTAGCACTGTGGAAATGCAAGTGTGACACGACAAAGCTCTCCTGTACGATGAGATTTTACATTATTGAAAAGGAGTAACTCAAAGCACTATGTTGACTGAACACACGTACTGAATTAAAAGTGACTAACATTTAAATATGGTATCTCATTTTTCAAATTTACCAAATATTTCCTATGAATTATTGCATTTGATTCTTGTGATTTCATTAAATGGTTTCTGCTAGCAGAGATGAGAAATTAAGGCTTTGAGAAGTTAAGAAAACTGTTAAATATGATAGTGAAAGCATGATGAAGAAGTTGGGGGATGAATTTATGTTTTCTGATTCCAAACCCAGGACACCAAGAGGTCCTCAGGAAGTGATAAATAATCATAAGCACTTTTAACTTCCTTGAATCAAATAGAATACACATAAATTTCAAACTAAATAGAACTAGTTATCCATCTACTGAAGTGCATCAAGGGAGACTTAGAGAAGCTTCAGGCAGGAATTCTAGTTCAGCAAAGATACAAATGCCTCACAAAGGCAGAAGTGGAATGCCCTTGCCTTCTTAAATATGAATCAGGCAAACCACTCTCTGCCCTGAGGAGGTGACCTGTGATGTATGCAAGGCTGTGCAGGTGTTGTCATGACCTTGGACATCCCATCCAATATTTTATGAATGTAACATTAAAGAGAAAATTTAGTTATAGTCTTCAAACCTGTCTTCATTTAAAAAGTGAAAGAATCTCTCCCATACTGAGTAGACACTCCAACTTCAAAGTACATGAGGGCCTCTTTTCCACAGGTTGGCACTTGACACAAAATAGGAAATTCTCCTGGACCCTGGAAACCTTTACTCCCATTGCCTCCTTTTGGACTTTTTAAAGTTTGATAACTCATAAGACCCTGTAACATTATTTCCTGCAAAATACTTTTATTAAGATGTTTCTGTAATACACAGAAAAACAAGCATGTTTATGTGTGTGTGTGTATGTGTGTGTGTGCATTCACGTACCACTGCCTTAGTGAAGTAGGCTCTTGGATAGGGCAATGAGCACCACCACTGAGAGTGTTTTCATAAGAATCTCTGAAATATTAATTTCTCTGGCATAATCGTTGATAAATTAAATTTATTACAAAATATAATGGCAAAATGTACTTAGCAATTATTATGCAGATTAATTACGAATGCATAGATTTTAGGGTTTTTTTAAAATTTCCAAACAAATATAGAAAGCAAGTGAAAATTTGAAAATCAATCTGATTGATCTCAGTAGATGAATAACCATTTGCAATTTGCGCCATCTTTCACTGAGTGTAGGGAAATGAAATGAGAGAAACACAAAAATTTTACAGTACCGTCACTTGCACTTTTGACTTTTCTGTGCTAGAGAACAATGCCCTGCACACACAGCTTAAAGGAGAAAAAAACATAATTTGACACATGCTTTCAGAGGGGTTATTCCATGGTCAGTGGTTCCAATACAGGAACACATTAGCAGGGGGCTGTGCTGGAGCAGAGCTGCTTTATACGTGGAAGCTGCGGAGGAACGTAAGGGAACAGAACCAGAGCAGAAAGAATAAGGGACCAGATATATTACTCAAGGTCACAGCTCCATGACCCACCCAGACACACGCAGAAGCATACTTTCTTAATCCCTTAGGGAGATTCTAACCCAGTCAAATACAGACAAGCTTCACCACCACTCTAATTGTAAGAGTTAATCATCTAGGACCGTAGGTTATGCGGCATTAGACAATTTAATACTAACTGTTAGGTATTGAGCTGAAAGACAGGCATCTAAGCACAAGGATATACCTTTAAAGAAGAAAGAATGCAGAACAAAACTATTTGTAAAACTTATCAGTCTCCCCAACTGTCAAAGATGATTATATGAAATGTCTTTTGAAGGAAAACAATAAAAATGTAGTGGATAAAGAGTGAAGGAACAGGGAAGCAGTGGCAGAACCCATGAGTTTGTTGTCCCTAAGAACCAAAGCTTATTTAAGACAATTTTTCCATGCTAGAACCCGAGAACACCACTATATGGGGCAGAGAAAACTCAGTAGGTCAAAAAATGAATGGATTATTGTAAAGTGTAGGCAGGGACTAGACATATCAGTACAACTGCATTATCTTTACCTCTTACATAATTCCAAACTTTGGAAGGAATATTACCATTTATTTATTAGGAAATTAGGAAAGTCACAGAAGAACACACCCATGGATGAAGCTAAAAAACAGGGAATGAAAAGAATAGATAGAAGCTATCTTATGCAGAGTGAGGAAGAGGTCCCCATGGCTGGTGGCAGGAAAGAGATGAAATGGAGCCATCTAAAGCAGCTGCGTCTGAAAATCAAGCATTGTGTCTTTGTTTTCCTAATCACCTCATGGTCTCCCAGGAATAAACACAGAGGTTTTATGAAAGGGACATAGATAACTTAATTTGTTTGATTTTAAAGCTATACATTATAGCATAAATTCACATGCCTTGTACAAGTAAATCTGATTTCTTTTAAAAGTTCTTACCTGCTAACAAAAGCATTGTATAAAAATAAAAAAAGTACATTAAATCAACAGTCAAAAGAGGTAAAAATCTGCAAAATTTTTTTTTTTTTTTCCTCCGGTACCGGGAACCGAACTCACGACGTTGCGCTTGCCAGGCAGGCGCTTTGCTGCTGAGCTAAATCCCCAGCCCCTGCAAAATATTTCAGTGGGTCAGATTTTATAAAGTTTTTTTTTTCAAATTTTACTTCTGTCCTCGATATTCAAGTAGTACATTTTTGTTTATTATTTCAAATATTCTGTGTATGTGCCTCAGACAGATATGCTTTAATAGTTATATTAAATCTATGTGCCTTAGTTTAGTCAATGTATCTTAGTGTAGCCAATTATTGAACAGGTAAACTGTTTTCACCACTTAAACATTTTAAACAATGTAATATATATATAAATTCTTCTTATGAAAATTTATTAAAATTTAGTTTAGCTGCAAATGTATGAATCTTTTTTTTGGTTTCTTTTTTGTTTTGTTTTGTTTTTCTTACCAGTAGTGGGAATTGAACTCATGATGTTGCACTTGCCAGGCAGGCGCTGTGCTGCTGAGCTAAATCCCCAGCCCTATGTGTGCATCTTTTAAATATTTGATAATTTTAAATATTTGATAATTTGATAATTTCCAAGTTGCACTGCTTGAAGAACCAACATGAACCTCAGGGTTGTATATAAGAGTGTTTTTACTCCTAGTCTTGAAAATAATGAATAATGCATTCAGATTCCCCATTTTGTAAGTAAATATTATTATTATTTGTTAATATTTCACTTATAATTGTGTTTATTTGCCTATAATTTCACTTCTGGAATTTGACCATTGGCTTCCTATTTCTCCTCAGAAATAAGCTGTGGCGATTTCTACAGATTTATTGCATTTATTATGAGTAATAGTAGTAGTAGATATTTATGTAACAAATATTAATAAGTCATATGCTTCAAATTATTTATTTGCCAATAGTTATAGTTTTTTTCTATGTGGAAAAGTCATACAAGGCAGTCAAATTTATTACTTTTTCCCTTTTAGTCCATGCCTCACTTCTTTTATGCCAACAACATATATCCACCCATGTTTTATTTCAGAGATTTGAAAGTTTAATTCATATGGATTTTATTAGGTGTGTGTTGTGAGGTAGGGATTTAACTGTATTTTCCTTTTCCATACTATTAGCCAAGTGGCTCAGTGTTGTATGTTAAATAATTTATCCTTTTCTTTCCTGATGAAAAATGGAATCTTTTCCGTGCTCCCTTCAAGTTTGTGTATGATATGTATTTGGCCTGAGTATGGATTTCCTTTCCAAAGTCATTTATGGATGTGACATCTTAACCACAGGAGCAGGTAGGAAGATATATGGCACAGGAATTCCTGAGCAGTAAGGCAAGCCATGGTAGGAAGAGGCTGCAGGCAAATTGATGACAGAAAGTAGCACAGGGATGACAGGAAGTACTTCAGGCACTTTGTCTAAAGAATAACAAGAAAAATTCACCCATGAAACAAATGCTAACAAGAAAATCCACAAGAGAAAGGTATGTTGGGAGGGAAAAACATGACAAGAACATAAGACAAATTTCATATTTTTGGCTTTGTCTTTGCTACCATCACCATGACTGGGAAAAGCACTGATGGGATTCTGAGCTTTTCAGAAAGTATCTGAAATCAGCACACAGCCAAGGAGATGCAGGAGACGGCCAGAAGCAGGAGGGTGACATTCAAATCCTGTAACAGGTTTGGAGCAAAGAGTTCTTCAATGTCAGGGGCAAGTTATACTCATAAGAGAACTCTGTATTCCTCTGGTGGACATAATTGCATGTGGCAAGTCTTCCCTAATTCTCCATGATGGCCACTGCAAATATGATTTTTTGTTTTCATGGAAATATCACACACATACCTACTTGTCTAATTTGATTTCTCATATAAATATTGCCAAGAATGTTTGATGATATATGATATTTGACCCTGTTAGAGAATTATGAGGAGACTACTTGATTTCTGTATAGTAAATATTCTCATTTGTACTTTAAATTACCTTAAAATGCACATAAAATTATTATCTGAATCCTTTATGGCTGTGTTAGTAAACACACATGTCTAATGTGGATTTAAATATGACATCCCTCCAGTCATGCAATGTGTTCTGTATATCAAGCTTAACAAGACATAGTTACCCAATGCAGTCTGTGTTTTTGTAGCTCCTGATATGCATTCCTGAAATCCTTACCTCTGCCTAGCTGGGTTAACCAGTTGGGTTGGAGTCTCAAGTTAACGTAGATGATGGAACCATAAAAACTCCAAGTATGAAGAATAAAGGACGGACACTATCCATTTCTGAAGCATTAAAATCAGGCTTGGTGGGCCTCAGTACCATCTGTTCAGGTAAAATAAATACAAATATTTTAACATGAAAAAAGCTTCCAGCAAGAAACAAAGTTGAATCCAGAGAGAATTTATGAAAATGTGTTGAGGCTGTTTGCAACCTCCCAAAACTGTCTTCCCAGGAAAAGGGCATGCGTGTGTGTGCATGTGTGTGTGTGTGTTTGTGTGTAATTGTATAGTTATCACAGGGATTGAAAACTGGCTGGGTTTGTGCCAAGGCCCTTTTGCAGTTACCTAGTGGACAAGAAGGAGGAGGCTGGACTGCAGGATGCAGGTGGCTTCTGAGTGAGCTGGAAATGCCCCAGGTTTCTTCAGGAAGGGGGCAGTACTGGTCCCAGAGCACCTGGCAAGGCAGAGTGTGAGGATGAGCCACTTTCTCAGGAGTAAATCACCTCTCCTCTCCAAAGGCTTTCAGGCTTCCTGCCATCTCAGTACCATCGTCAGGTTCGTGTCGTAGGAATCATAATGGATGAACCTCAGTTTCCTTTCACTTATCTGCTGCCATAAGTCTGTATTATTTTTAACTGTGTGGATAGGACCGGTCTCTCCTTTAGAAATCTTCTCTTTCCATGCCCCCAAATACACCTTGCCTTTTCTAGTACAGTCTCTCAATCATAATTCTGTTCAAAGAATACATTTTCCAACAGTCTCGAGAGTCATTTCAACAAAAAACAAAGTTATGGGTGTGAGGAGATGGCCCTATCTATAGTTTTGACTCAAAATTTTCCCTCAGGTGTAAAAGGAAAGTACATGTGTATCTAAACAAGACTACATCAAAATGGTCCATTCTTATTGAAGTTATTATAAAACATTCTGCTTATAACATTTCACTTTTTATTTAATACATGTTGGGTGTTTACATACATTCAAAAATAGTACAGGGGCTGGGGATTTAGCTCAGTGGCACAGCACCTGCCTGGCAAATGCAAGGTTGTGAGTTCAGTTCCTAGTACCAGAAAAAAAACAAAAACAAAAGCAAAAAATATAGTACAAAAACAGCTACATTATTTCATAGGACTGAACCATTTACTTGAGTAAATTATTTGAAAGTGTATTAGTTTTCCTCAGATAGGGTAATGTTCTCCTCACACTTTATTGTATTCCATCGGCTCCTGTGATTGGTAGAAATTCCTAGGAATGGGAACATTGTTTTCAAGATTTTGACTGACACATCAAATACTGCATCAGGGTGTACACACATGTTCTGTTGCTTTTCTTCAAGTCAGTCATTAAGAAAATTGTCATTTAATTCCATTACAGTAAAATTTCATGCAGACGAAGTTTACTTGTTCCTGGGTGTCTGCATGCTAAGAGGGAGGTCTGCATGTCCCGCCATCTTGATCTTCTAGGTGTGGTCAGTGGATTAACTGCTTCAGCGCTAAGGACACAGGCACTGGGGACAGTTTGTGAGCCCTGCTCGACAGTCATACAGAAACTGCTTCTCTACACAGTTAGGAATTGTGTAGGAACTGAAGCTTGAGATTGGAGAAATTTGTGTGGTAGTGTGCATGAGAGCTGTCATGGGAAACAAAGGTGCTAGGAACATGGAGGAAGGTGAGCTAAGTGGCCCCTCCACACCCAGCAAGAATGCCTCTGCATGGTGTCTGCAGGCTCACTTTGATTCTCACTGCAGGCCTAAGTGTCACTCTTTCCCCACATCACCATATGTCTGGTACGAACTTCTGCATTGTATGAATGCTTTGTATCCCTGGAAATTTTTGTAGTTGAGGAAGCAGAGGCTTCACACAGGGCTGGAGGTAGAGAGGGAGAGAGAGCGGCAGATCCCGGGGTGCCTGGAGCCAGGGGAGCAGAAGCTACGACAGATGACATGGCAGAGCTGGTGACACAGAGGGGGGAGCTTGTGCAGAGGACCACAGCAGGAGGCCAGGGAAGGCTGGGAAGGAGCACTTGGGGCTCAGTGTAGGTTAGATCACAGAGTTCTGAAAGATGGGTTCCAAGCACACAGAATTACCACTGACAAACATATGAATTTCAATAGCTCTTTGAACATCAATGTCGGTGCAGAATTAAACAGAAGGAAACCCAGTTTTCAGCAAGTTGATACTATTTATCAGGGATCTGAGTGCTAGGTTGTATGGCATTTGTTGAGATAAATAAAAAATGATGAGAGGATTTCTGTGCCGGACATAATGAAATGACATGGAACACATTTATCTCCCTATGGGCAACCACAACAACACCACAAAACTGGACATGATATGGATATCAACAGTTGTTTAAGAAATTAGATATTGGACGGATTGACTGTGGTGCCTGATATATGGAAACCAAACTAGATAAACTCTAAAACAAGCGCAATTTCTACCCAGACAGAGGTTCCTGGTGATGGAGCTAAAAGCGAGACCAGGTGGGACCAGTCGTCTCCTTGGGTTGAATATACAAAAGTGCGAAGGTAGAGATGACAGGATGACTAGACTCATGGGGAAGAAACCCAGAGAATAGAGAACTGTGGAGAAAAACTTTGAAGATTTAAGGACAACTTGCTTGAAAGTTCAGCTGAGTTCTGATCTTTGAATTTGAGAGAGAAGTGGATCAAAGCCTGGGGAAAGAGCAAACTGAAATGGATAAGAAGGAAGACCCTTTGGAACTCACACATGGGTAAGAACAGTGTCTGCCCCAGCAGGCCCAATGTAAAAGCCTAGTAGTTCAAGTACAGACTTAAAAAGTAGAGAGTTAGAAAGGTCGGTGTCAGTAGACCGAAAGCATCAGTCCTAGACTAACAGCTACTCAGGTTGCTCCTAACAGCTCAAGCCAAGACCTGGAAGGAACAAACCTGTTTTAAGAAAAATAAATATGTTCCAAAGTAAAGTTCAAGAATACTTATAAGAGTACAAATATATTCAAATCCAAAATGTCTCTTATTATATATAGAAACCTTGGGTAGGCAAAGCAGTAAGAAAATGCAACCAATAATATGCAGAGACAAGAAGCAAACAGCCAGAGAAAGGATACAGCTGGCAGAGTAGGGGAGAAGTGCACGCAGTTATTACAACCTGATTCCACTTGTGATAGACACCAAAGGAGAAATGGGACGGAGAGAAGGGAGAAAAAAAGATCCAAAAAAGAAAAAAAGATCGAAGTTGAATTTATGGACTGGACAGCTGCACATAAAAATGAAAAAATACCCTGGACTAGATTAACAGCAGGTTAAACTTTGAAGAATATAAATACAGAGAAAGCGAATGCATAACAGAAACTATTAAAATGAAACAAAGAAGACTGAAAAATGTATGGGGCGACGGTGAACACTTCAGAGACCAGGCGCCAGGCTGCAGCCCACAATGCACTTACTTATTGCCAAGTGCCAGTGTGGTGATGAACCCTGAATACCGAGAAATTAGTTTAGGAAAAACAACTTCACGTTAATATTTTTGTCTTAAAAGAAAAGCACAATAACATGCACATTACAGCTTTGCCACCACTGGTATGGAGGATAAGGGGGTCATCTCCATGATAAATGTGGGGTAATCAGAGTGTCAAAAATGGGTCTAGATAGAAAAATATTCAAGAAATAATAGCCAAAACATTTTTCAAGATTGAGAACAACTGCAGGTTGATGAATCTCAATGAATATCCCAGATGAAAAATACATGCAAAGGCACCAAGCATAACCTAAACAGTTGCTTAAGCTTGTGATAAAATCTTTACGGCAGCTGGGTCTGGATGGGAAGAGGAGAGAAAGCTAAAGAAGTGCAGGCAAAGCCCAAGAAACCACTGCAAGGTAACAGCACAGCTTGAGACTGCGGGTCCTGAAGCACACTGTGCTCTTAGACCAGGATCTCCTGTCCTGTCGTGACACACCTGAGCCATGTCTGATTGCTGGAGTGGGAAGGATGCCTGCTGGTGTCCGTAGGGTATTTGTCCTTGCACATGAAAGGCATTAAAATCTCTTCAATTTTGCTTTTATTAGTGGGATTTTACGTGCCTACAATGCCCTCTATATTTTATAATATTAGATACACAACAATCCTTTGCTTCATACCATAGTAATAGTTCAGTTTTACAATAGAGGAAACTGAGGATCAGAGAAGTTAAATAACACACAAGCATTAGAGAGGACATAAAGGCAGGAAGTCTAAAATTAGATTGTACAATACTAGTCAATATAAACTCTTGCCCTTAGTCAATTCTTCATATTCAAATAAAAATTCAACACATTATCAAAAAACTGATTAGTCCTTAAATGTGGGTTTCTTTCCACCTTGGATATGGATGTCCGTTTTCCCCATAGTCTTCTTCATAATTTTTCCTCCCAAGCTGTCATATACATCAGTTGGTGGGAAGTATAACTTGCACTGATCCCCAATTTCGCAGCAAAGATTCCACCAAAATGGCCTATTCTTAGCAGTGGCATATTTCCCACTAAGATGCAAAGAAAAATGGATAGAATGGATTAAAAAAATTATTGGATAAATTCAATGCATATCAGGTCAAGTTCCTACTAGTCTTTCATCATAATTGCCAAACTTCCTTTAAAATTTATCCAGAGTAATGAAAACAAATTTGAATAAAAGGGAGAAGTGGAGGAAATAAAATTCCCCAATGTTGAGGTCTATTATGAACTGATAACAATCTACACAGTGCGGTCATGGTTCAATGAGGCGATTGCAATAAGTAGATAAATGGTAGGAACCAAAGTGAGCAGATATAGACTTTCATATGTGTATACACGGCAAAGGTGCAAAAGAAATTGAGAGGGGGTGATAATAGAGTTTTAAATAAATGAATATTTAGAGATCTATTCACAGGGCAGACCTTTAATAGGTATGCTTAATACTTTACATACAAGTTCACCCAAAATGGAATATGTGCCTATCTGTATAAGCTAAATCCATTAACCTAGAAGAAAACATGAGAAAGTAATTTGTGACTTTTGTTTAGCCAACAATTTCTTAAATGCAGTGCCAAGTACAATCAATAAAATAATGAATTGATAAATTGAAACTCATCAAAACTGATATCATAAGTTCTAAGGACATTGTGAAAAAGATGTAGAGGAAATTCAAAGTCTGGTGAAACACTAAATTATTACAATGAGCTCCATCAATATGTATTATATAAGTATATGTAGATATAGATATAGATATGAGGGATCTTAAAACTATTATTCTGAATTAAATATGCCAGATCTCTCCTCCCCTTTAAACAAGATCCCAGGAAGAATATCATTTCTAGATATTTTTGGAGCTTTGAAGCCGGTCTCAGTGGCAGAAACAGATGCGTGTTCCCTGGGGTAGAGGAGGGTTTCTCCGTGGGAGAGAGGAGGAAGAAATTACCAAACGGTATGAGGAATCTTTCTGGGCAATGGATCTGTTCATTATCTTGATTATGGCGGCTGTTTCCCGGACGTACACATATGAGAACACACACTCATTCCCAACTGTACGTTTTAAATGTGTGCACTCACCACAGACTGGCGATGCTCCATCTGTTACGAAGTGAAGAGCTCTGTGTTCTCCATCTTCCTGCCACGTGCAACCCACCTACTGCTGGCTGTGACACCCCAGCACTCCTGTCAGAGTTTCCTCCTTCCTACCCGGGGCGAGCATTCCGTGCTGTGTACGCCAGAGCATGTTGAGTCACCTGTATTTGCTGAGATCCGCCTGTGGAGGTCCAGATGTGTGCCTGTTGTACATGAGCGTCAGCGAGTGGTGAGCGAGCAAATAAACAGTGACCCTTGCTTAAGATTGGATGTTGTCAGCAGAATAAATAAATGAATCCCAACGATCAGCCAGCATTCCCGCCATGCTGGTGGCAGAGGCGGAGATTCAGTGATGTTTGACTTTGCCAGCAGAGGAGGAAAGAGCAAGGGCAAGAACTCTTGCAAATATTTAGATTCTGTGTGCAAATACCAGGGCCCAGAAGAACTCTTAGGGGCAGCTTTGGGGAACTTAAGTAACAGACCAGGAGGTAATTAAGAAGGTAAACACTTAGACAAAACAGAAGGACGCAGTCCAGAAAGACGAGATTCTGAAGTCAAGTACAGAGAAAATGCCTTACAGATTTTAGCTAACAGGATTAAAATTTTTCAAAAAGTGCTCTCTAAAGCAAATGTCCATGGTAAGAGGGAACGTAAATTGTTGGAAATGCATTTGTAGCTGTGAGAATGACACTTTTTTTTCAAAATCTTATGCATCTTTGTTACATGGAAAGGAATTTGCACTAGAGCCAAGCCTGTGTGAAAAAATAAACACGCAATTCTACTGCTTCTCTCCGAGTCCATGTAAAAAATACCCACAGTCAATTTAGGATTAAACCCGCAATTTACTTAAATTTCCAAATTATTTTATCAACTAAATAACAAGCTTTTTATAAATTATTTACATTCAAATTTTTATTTTTTATACAAGTACAGTTCCTCACATTAGCATTAATTTGACACCAATTTTATCTAATCAAATTCTGTCAACATGTTAAAAATAATTTGAAAATCTTCTATTCTGGACCATGTCAGGAGACTCTTAAAATTATTTAGAATCCAATGTTTGCTGAAACAAATACTTTACTTCTGGAAATTCTGCTGTAATGTCACTGGTGGAGTTTACATCTCTTACACTTGGAAATATTTCTACTTCTGTTTCAGTATCTATATTGATAATGTAAGGCAACATAGAAATATTGATGAAAATACAACATAGCCCTTTGGCCACTTAATAATTATGAAGCAATTACTTCATTTATCAATAGGAGAGCAACAACTTTAAAAAGTTGACTAGTTTGAGCAAATTCATACTACTAATATACAATAACCTAGCTGCTAATTGAGTAGCTACTTTTTACACTTTACTAATTATTATTATTCAGTGGCATATAATAAACTATGTTTTTTAACATCATTAGATTTACATTTACAAGGAAGATGTACAGATTTCAAAAACAATCAAATATACAGCTTATCAAGTGATATTAAAGGCTAAAATCATCACTATATGTTAAGGGGAAAAAACCAGCAATTGTGGATGGCAGGGGCGTTGGAACAGAGACAAAGTAGAAAGGGTAAATAAGAAAACATTTGATACAAAGAGCAACAGGCAAAAGGAAAGTCCGGATGGACAGGAGAAAGACAGTGAGGGGAAGTTTGAAAGGAAAGTAAATTGTGGTGCTGGTGCGGGCCATCATTCGAGCATTTTGCGAGGCCAAGTCAGGAAAATATCTAGTTCAAGCCCAGTCTGGGCAACTAAGCAATTTTGTGAGGGCTTAGCTCAAAATAAAAAAATAAAAAAGGCTGCAGGTTCAGTGCAAAAGCCCTTACTTAATCCCCAGTACAAGAGGGATGGAAGGAAGAGAGAGAGAAGGAAGGAAGGAAGGAAGGAGAAAGGAAGAGAAGGTAGGAAGGAAAGAAAGGAAAGAAAGGAAAGGAGGAAGAAAGAAAGAAAAAAAGAAAGAAAGACAGAAAGAAAGAAAGAAAGAAAGAAAGAAAGAAAGAAAGAAAGAAAGAAAGAAGAAAGAAAAGGAAGAAAGAAAGAAAGAAAAGAAGGAAGGAGGGAAGGAAGGAAGGAAGGAAGGAAGGAAGGAAGGAAGGAAGGAAGGAAGGAGAATGAAAGAAAGAAAGAAAGAAAGAAAGAAAGAAAGAAAGAAAGAAAGAAAGAAAGAAAGAGAAAGAAAAGAAAGAAGGAAGAAAGAAAGAAAGAAGGAAGAAAGAAGAAAAGTAAAAACAGTAGAGAAAAAAAGAAAAAAAGAAGAGAGCAAGAGTGCTATGGTTTGTCTGGATGTTCCCCAAAGCCTGATGCAGTCATGGCATGGGCTTCTAGAGTTTATGCTTGTTTCATGGTACAATGCTGGGATTGTGGGTGTGAGAGCTACACCTGCCCCAAGGTGGGTAGTTTTCATACAGTGTAAGGGAGGGAGAGAGGCTACTTGCTGCTATCTCTCCCTCTTTTGCTCTCATTGCTTTTGCTATTTTCTGCCTCCCTGGACTGTGCACCTCTGCCGTGTGCCACTCTGTCTTGGAGACAGCTGATTATAGACTGAAACTTCCACAAACTGAGCTAAATAAACCTTTCCTTCCTTAATTCTGGGCATCAGGTGTTTTATCTCAGCAAGGAGAGAAAAGTAACCAAGACAAAACAGTGAAAAGGAATACATGAGAGGTATAAAGTAATGTGCTTTGGAGAAGATTTTATAGGACTTTCCCTGGGCAAGATGAGTGGCTAACCTAACAATACCAAGACAAGAGTTTGAAAGTAAGCGGTTTATGTGGGAAGGGCTTCCTGGAAATATCATCAAGATGTACAGAGTAGGCAGATAGAGAAGGAGCAAATCTGGAGTCAGTTCATCAGCAGATCATCCGTAGGGGTATATGGGATTACATCCCGCCAGAACTTCCAGGTGGCTGCACCACATACCTCAGAGAGGCATCATTAGACAGCAGGAGATCCTGGAATATTTACCCCCTCTTTCCTTCTGTCAGTTTTGGGAGCTGCTCCAGAACACAAATGCCTTCTGCACTTCTATGTTGAACCTTGGTCTCTCATGGACCAGCAATGTTCCTAAGCCAGAAGAAAAAAGTCCCCAAGAACTGAGTCACAACAAGTATCCTCAGGTCCTGGAATGAGGGGTCCATGGTGAAGATGGGGGTCAGAAAGGGACTGATGGCATCTTAACCAATGAGAAGTCCTTGATGAACACAAGGGGGATTTGCACTGTAGTGACCCTTCAGCTCTTTAGTGGAAAACCCTCAAGAGGGGTGAGAGGTTCGTGCAAAGAACACAGGTGTGCAGCCAGTTAGGAGATGACTGTGCTCACCCAGGCTAGAGGGGCGTGGACGTGAACCAGTGCAGCAGCAGTGAGACTGTGAGGTGTGGAAGGACTGCGGATGCAGAGAGAGAGCGAAGCCAGAGGATGTGCAGCCTGGTTGATTGTGCGGTGAAGGGAAAACCACTACAGATTTTAACCCAAGGAAGTAGAAGAGAGGAGCTGTCATTTACTGAGGTGAGAAAGAGTATAGCATGAGGTTTTTGAGGGAAAAATGTGTAGAAACAGACCCTTACGCTTTAAAATATCCCTAGACAGCAGGCATTGCTAGCCCCACTTTGCAAGCAGGAAACACATCATCCCCCCAGGGCCTCAAACACCAGGACTTGCTGGGGAGAGCTTGAACTTCTGATCGCTGCCCTGCAATCAGTCTCACGTTATATGAAGCTGTGAAAATTAAAACTAATATATGTTCCATGCCTACTGCATAGGAGATAGTCAATAAATAAAAACCAACTTGTGGACTGCACTACTGTAATATTTTATATATGAATCTATATTTAGAATATATATATTTTTAATCTCTATTATTAATACTCAGCAAGTTTGCCATAATGAATGCCAATCAGCAAAATAAAGTTCACCTTTACCAGAAATTATGAAAATCAGTTTAAACTAATTATCATTTTTATAGGTGATGCACATCAAAGTTTAAATAAAAGTATATTTTTGTGGTAAGTACATTTTAGGAAAACAATACAGGCAAAATATAAATTTGTCACATTATAATGAAGTAGCCATAAATAAGGAATTTTACTGGTGAATTTCCAAAACAATGAGATTTCTGAGGTTTGTCATCAGGGGCCTGGATATCTTATACTGGTTCTAATATTGTCACCTCTAAAGGTGTCTGCGTCAGAGTGCTCTATGTCCAGGCTCCTCCGCCTCCACGTTTTCTCTTCTGTTCTTGTGTGTTTCTAAGAACTCTAAGAGTTTACCACCTTTACTAGATAAGAGCAGAAGAAAATTAGCATTAGGCTGCTTGTAATTATTAAGACAAGAGTAGGGAAGAGACTGACACTTAGGACTGTCATCGAATTTTTAAAGTCTATGTATATTATAAAGTACAACCAATTATATTTTAATTTCATGATTTGAAACCCAGCTGAGTTTGTTTGAAGGGGAAATGCCTATGAAGAAAATGAAGTGGACGGTATGGTATGTTTTACTTAGCCTCCTTGAATTCCTTTTTAGCGAGCCCATAGATCTTCATTTCTCTCATGTCACCTCCTGGATGCTAACTGTGCTCCTCTGGTGGTGAGATGTTCCTTTGCTTTGCCTGCCTATGGCTAGCGGCCTGCATCGTGCTAATGCACTGGAGGCAGCAGACTCCAGGGCCAGCCTCCCCTGCAAGCGCTTGCAGTCACTGACTGATGGGACCCCAGAAGGGTGCAGTGGCTTGGTCTCTTTGCAGCTTCCACCACTGAAGTTAACATTGCTAAGGCTGTGAACAGCCTTTCCAGCTAAGGCTTTGGATACCTGTGGCGATTGGTGCTGGGGGAATCTTTCGGTGGAGTTTCTCCATCTGTCCATGTTCTGCCTAGGAAGCGAAGTTAAATGCAAGCAGATCCCTCTAGGCACTGGGTGTGCTGTACTGCTGTGAAGGCAATGAGCTCTGGTCCTGAATTGGAGTGTACCTATGCTTTCAGAGATAATGGGGCCAGTGTTCAGTGAGATGCAGAAGTAACACATGCAAGCCAATGCCTGGAGGGGTATCCTGCAAAAATTCATATGTAGAAGTATATCTGGGGATCTTTTAGGTAAACTTACAAGATAAGACACGGGAAGGCGGGCTGGGGATTTAGCTCAGCGGCACAGCGCCTGCCTAGCAAGCGCAAGGTCGTGAGTTCGATTCCCGGTACCAGAAAAACAAACAAAGAAAAAAGACATGGGAAGGTCCACAGTGGCCATCTCTGAGCCACAGACCCTAATG